GAATGGGGACGACGTGCAAGTCGCATTTCCACAGGAGCCGTCTCTCTGCCTCTCGATCGACTTCATCCCGCGGAAAGGAAGCGGCCTTGATATCCTCGATGGTGGAGTGCGTGCAGTCGTCTTTTTCATCCATGGTGCTAGCTAGTACTAGTACCTAGTAGAAGTAAGACCAGCTAGAATATAGCCCTACAGGAAAAGTACTACCTTACCGCGCCACGAGATGGACGAGATCTGCACCCTCTTTATAGACATTAGACTCGTATATGCATATGTCGTACGCACGCACCCCGCATATTGCGGATCTTTATCCTGATTCCGCGGTGTAATTGCCGATTCATGCTCAGACAATCCAATTCCGCACACCAAGAGGCCCAACTACCGAAGTGGAGTATTTAACGACCGATCGAGTTCGAGGTGACTGACTTGGCAGCATAGATAGTTGCTGGACACACTACCAGCACGGCGCAAATACAAACTAAGTCGATCATGTAGAACAATAACTCGTTCTAGTCAAGCAACGAGCAACTGAATCGCAAATGAAAGGTGTCAAAAGCCAATCGGCAACGATCTAATCCTCAGTTCAATACGTAGGATTGCCAGACTAGATCCATGTTAGTGTTTCGAACGCAATGTACCTGCAACATACACATGGTGTCAATTGATGATTTACTTCAAACCATACTAGGAGTATTTAGTTATCGTGACTTGGGTGTAGGTAGTCTTCACGACCCCAGCTTCCCCAGATCCAAAAGTGCGGAGAGATTCCACTGCGGGGATGGATCCACGGTCCCGGCATATCCACCGTTTTCTGTCGGTTGTTGATGCAGGGCGGAATGGGGTTCCGCTCAAGGTCGAACCTGGAAAGGGATTGGATACTAGTGGTAGCTTTAAGTTGCTCACTTTTGAGTGAGCTAGTTGCTAGACCCTCGAGTGAGGATCATCGAGACTTGGTTGGAATGGTACCGGAGTGCTATCTATTCAACGTCCGCATCCAGAACGAACGAGGTTAGCTAATCACCTGACTCAGTTTATGAGACGAGCTGACAGGTGTGGACCTTCTCGAGGGAGCATGAGTCAGTTGTCGTTACTTGGTCCAATGGTTGCAGTTTACCGTGACAAATTGAGTTGGTTATCAGCATGTTACAGTAGGGCAGCGTAAAGACCCATGATTTATTACAGAGGGATGAAACTAAACATAACTACTCAGACATGTACGTCAGTATCAATACCAGATTGACCACTTATAAACATTAGCTGGATACAGCAAGGTCATAATCTCAACGCGACTTGGGCACTGCAGCGGCAGACATCTACCGTCTAGCATCGAGGTTTTCAATAGTCACCGCATCACCCTTCTCGTTGGCCCGGGCCTCGGCCTCAAAATGTCTCTCCTTCTCTCCAACCATCAGCCGCTCACCGTTGGTGACATGGTTGGCGCCACCGAAGAGAGCGTCGATCTCCTCCAGGGGAACTTGCTTGGTCTCAGGAATGAAAAACCAGACGAAGACGGCAAGCAGGAAGTTGATCCCCGCGAACATGTAGAACGCGTAGAATCCACAATTCTTCAGGAAAATGGGGAAGAATTGTTGGACAATGGCGTTGGCAACGTTCTGAGTCTGCGAGGCCATACCTACAGCCTGGGCACGAACGTTCATCGAGAACACCTCGGACGTCCAAATCCACACGGTGGCACCCCAAGAGGGTTTGTCTTGAGACAAGAATGTTAGTAGGATCGAGTACGGACCGGATCGGGATAACTTACAGAAGAAGATGAATAGGAATAGTAAGAACACGATCGATATTCCGACGGGTTCTGTCTTCACCCCGTGCGGCGATGGTGTTTCAGTTTCAACAGCGGCGACAACGATCATGCAGAGACCCATGCCGATACCACCGACAATCAGGAGGAACTTGCGTCCGAAGCGATCAATGATCCACACCGCGTTCAGTGTGAAAATGATACCGAAGGTGGCGTTGAGGGCGTTGATGAGGGCGATCGTTCCGGCGTTGGGAAACACCTTCTGGTAGATCTTCGTGGAGTACGAGTTCAGGGAGCCTTGTCCAGTGACCTGTTGACCGGCGTTGATGACGAGCGCCAGAGCCATACGCTTGCGCAGGGACTTGTCCTTCCAGAGCGCACTGTAGTTGCTGGAGATGGCTTCCTTTTCGTACTCGAGAGCCTCACGGATCCTCAAGATTTCCTCCTCAACTTCCTCTTCAGTCTCACGGACTCGGCGCAGAGCCGCGCGCGCCTTCTCGACGTTGTCACCTCGCTGGAGGAACCTGGCACTATGTCAGTTGTTATGAAACTGTATTGAGGTTTGCATCAGCTTACCATCGTGGAGAGCCGGGGATTGTTGGCAGAAGGGCCAGGATCAGGCAGGGAACGAGCAGTTGGAATATGACAACCATCTTCCAGTCCCACTCGCCCAGATTCTGCTTGTGCTTTGTGCAACCGTAGTTCACCCAGAAGCAAATGAAAGACCCAACGGAGTAGAACATTTGCCAGAAGGTCATGATTTTTCCACGAATCTCTGGTGGCGCCAGCTCACCAATATAGATAGGACCGGCGGCTTCACAAATATACCCCATTAGCCAGAAGAAAAATCAAAATACACGCCATTGGAGAAGGATACTCACTCAAGGCAATACCCTGTCCGATACCGATGATGCAGCGACCAGCAAGGAAGCATCCAATGTTACCCCGTGGGGACCATGTCTGCATGAAAGTGGACGCAATAACAAGGACACAGCCAATGCCCATTCCAACCTTGCGGCCGAGATAATCAGCAATGGGACCACCTAAGAAGAAACCACCGAAGATGGCGCCCACGGTGTAGGCCGTGTTGACTGCGCCAATCGTGTTGTCATTTGGGTTATTAAAGTATTTGACCCAGTTCTTGGAACCCTGGACAGAGTTGTAGACGGACGCATCGTAGCCATAGAGAACCATGCATGCTGCTGCAACGAGAGAAATGAACCTGAAAAGCGTTGCCGTCAATCGATCGTCCGCTTCGTTCCAGCCGTCAAGAAACAGGACTCACCAGTTATAGCCTCTCTTGGAGAGGATTCGGGCCATCATCTTGGCGGATGATCCGTGTACCACGGCTTTGTACAGAATCTAAGAAAAAGGATGATAGAAGTATACAGCAGGTGCCCAATCGCAGTCTCTCGCCCTTGTCAGCCAAGCCCTAAGCTGTCGTAGGGTGCTTGTCGTATTGTACACGACGAAGATGCTGAAAGACAAGACTCGGCCCAGAGGTTCCACGAGACAGATATATAGGCCCCGTGAGAGATCGAGGAGAGATGGCGTCCGAGGCGATAGAAACGAGCAAGAGCCAGCCCATTATATTAGACCATGGGACACTCAAGTCCATGGGCCGTACCCTTGAGAACACTAGAGAAAAAGCACCAGTGACCAGTCCAATCAGCATCGAAGAACTTGTCTCTCCTGGGTGGCTAGATGGTGTCTAGCTCTCAACTCCATGTTTCTAAGTGGTGGGGTATCTGGGGTGGACCGACGGTGGACTCAGTACGGCGACTCTGATCTAGCCCGAAGCCATTATCGTGTGGGCGTGGCCAACGTAAAACCGCGCACGCGGATTTGAGGAAATTCTGCCCCGTTGAATAAAGCATGTGCTAAGATTTCCACGAATCGGCGACGGGTTGGGTCAGGGGGCGGATGGGAAAAACCGAGTCCACCAATGGAAACGACTGCACAAGAATGCCTACAGTTCTTGTTCCATGCTGGAAAAAGGTTCGAACCAAAAGCCCTGTGTTCGCTTACGATGGAAATCCGGGGACATTCATGATAAGGCAGTGATGAGGATGATACTAGTGGAGAAAGCAGTTGAGGTCTGTTGGTAGACGTGGAGAAGAGACGCACAGACAGATATCTTTCCATCGATGTCACGAGTCACGCAAAAAAGCTGCCCATTGCTGCTAGTCAGTAGATAGTTAGGGCTGCCCCAATTATTCCCGGATGAATTCCAGTGAACTTGACAAGCTTTAACACAGTTAGGCAATTTCACGCTTAGCTGATTGGCCAAGATCTATTTGCCCCATCGAAACTCCGTCGTTGCTGACTCTTCCAGCTGACTGCGGTAGCCACTGTCTAGACAATGGGAGGTGAGCTGTATCTGGCTTGAATTATCTATCTTACGAATGTACGGGGTCTGGAACCTGGGGTCTCTAGACCGTCTGCCCACTCCATTTGATCTAGTCTCAATGTTGACCAAATTTCTATGACTTCACACCATATAATCATTGTTCAGAGAGACGGTTGGGCACATTACAATAACGCAAGACAGGAATAAGATTCGAACTACGAAATACCGACATGCTAAACTCTGAATAGTACTGCCATTCATGTCCAAAGCTCGAAGGCGTGAAACTAGAAGTGGGAGTAGAACAAATGTGATCGGATGATTATTCAAAGGCAAATTCGTCGAGAGACTATCAACCTCCTGTGACTTTCTGACAAGGGCTTGTGGGATGGAAGACGACTGGCCCATCGTTCCTGATCTCGGTCCCGTCGCCACCGAAGAAGTCCGGTGGTGTCCTGGACTTTACCTCTCTATAGTGCCTTCGGATACTTGCATTGGGCGCTCGAGGGAGAACTGGAATTTTAGGAGCGGATTGTACGCCTTTCTCATGTTTCGTATCGAGTGACTCTATGTCGAAAATATCTTGAACTCTTCCGCGAAAGTCTTTTTGAAACGCACCAAGTTGACGCCATTTCTGTTTCAGTGTGAAGAAAGGCGTCGTGGGATCACTAGCACCGTCCGCTCCAGTTTCGTTTCCCCTCAGCAATACTTCTAGCTTGGACGGGGAGGAAGATCCAGGGACGAGAGCCGGTAGAGAGTCGACTTGGAAGACCGAGGAAGACCTCGATTTCGTGGCAGGTCTTCCACAAGTGTGGGCACTACATAGACCCCGAAATATCCGGTATCGCCTCTGCACTTGTCTGCAGAAGCTGCGCAGCAGATACAGAAGAGCAGCTACCACAATAGAGCAGCCGAGCAACGCGCAAACACTATAGAAGGCTTGGCGTCCACTAACCTCCTGCTTCGAGCAGTGTTTCTCAATGGCTGTGGATAACATAGTGCGCAGATCTCCTCTTTAGTCGGAGTTTTACCCTCTGGTACACACGTCTTCTTCAAATCGAACCCTTCGCAAAAAGTGTCCACACATCTACTGCGACGACTGTAGGAATTTTTCCGGACGGGGTCATTGCTATCATGAGGGTGGACATGGCCCTCTGAGCCACTCTGGAAGCCAAGGGTATTTTCCGATTTCCGTCTCTCAGTTCGTACCTTTCCACGTTGAGATGCTGACTCCAAGTCCGATCCCGAAGCTGCCTCTGGTTGACCGTCCCAGATCTTGCCGCGACGTTCCCACTGCGGATCGCTGTGCTCCAGGCGAGAATCGAGTACTATTATTTCCCCGAGCGTTATGGAAGCTTCCGGGGTGTCATGAGGTCGCGTCAATAACCGCTTCCACAGTCGCATGCTCGCTTCTTGTCCTCCAGGAATCGTCAGGGTTACCGTCAGATTCAGGACTGATTGAACATAGTCTTCCGAGCTTCTCGAGTGTAATGAGGTATTTCGGCCAGGTATTGCTCCTGCGTCAGTCCAATACAGTCGCCGACCCAGAGAAACCGCATATGCTGGCTCATCCACTTCAGCATCCGAGAAGTTGAGCGTACTGAAGGTGACCAGTGCTTGCTCGCAATATTCGAGCTCGTAGGTCTGGTTGCCAAGGGACTTGCCAGGCGCCAGTCCCAGACTTTCTGTGTCGTTGACAAAAGGCCCAAGGAAAGCATAAAGGAGAGCGATAAGATGCTGTTGACAATACATTGGATTGGAGCAATAATAGCTCAGACTGATGATACAAGATACCAAAGCTGCAATGCCCCATGTCAAAGATTAGAACTGAGAGGTGTCTCTTGGAGACTACGAGGAGCTCGACGATACCGCATGGCCGAAGTCTTGCAAAGTCAGGAAGGAACAAGATGTCGCTCATGGAAGCTACACCTCATCTCTTCGACCACTTCAATCGGCCATAACAACCGGGTGGTAACATTTGAAAGTAGCAAGGACACTTGAGGGGGAAGATAGACCATCTCTGTCAAGCATCTCAAAATGTTCAGGACATCCAGCTCATCATACGTCTTGTAGTAGAATGCTCCAGAGCAGTCTTCTTGCTAGGAAGTGATAGCCACTGCCTTGTTCAGACTGCAGACCATGAGATGTCACTACCCACATCCTTCTCCACTCATCTGTAGTTCCTCATAGTGTCATGTCTCTGACCATTTCTCTCCACTAATTTGGTAAAATGAGTCACGTGCTCTCGTGAATCGGTGACGCGGTGCCATCGCGGTCTCATCAAGCCATCGTTTTGGCCTCACTTTATTGTCATACTGTCCTCATCTGTCAAGTCTCATATTTCTCAATCAGGAGTTGTCTTTTGTACATTAATATTACTCCCCGCAACTGGTTCAATTCCAATCCTCATGCCCCGCAATTATGGCAAAGCGAAACAGGCGCGACTTTCTTTCGCTCCGCTATCATCTTCGCCGCCAGGTACTGACAGGAGCACGAGAAGTCAGAAAGATCGCCTAGCTACCCTACGATATGATCATCCCTCCTTACCTTCCCTTCGTCGAGATCCGTTACAACGGGGCAAGCCCCTGACGCGCCGAGAGGAATCATCTACCCCGCCAAAGAAAGTCTTATCAGAGGGAACGCCATCCTCAGAGCCAGAACAAAACCCACAGAGACTGGGAGAAGGTAGGTTTGGTCCTCCTCACTCATCCATGTATCTGTCACTCATAGGGTTTACGAAGACCAGTTGCCAACAAGATCACCTGTCAAGGACGCAATTTCTGTTGACGAGAGCAGCGATAGTACTCTGGAGATTCAGCGCAGCGCGCGCAAATATATGCGGTTACGATCGGGAAAGCGGAAGAGGTCTCCCTCCTTACCAAAGTTGTCGAAGACTTCTCCGAATGAACGTCTGATTCTGGTTTCGGATCAGAGTGAAGAGGACATGGCTATACAGCCTCGCCGAAGGTTAAGACGCGGCACCGCGGACGTAAAGCCCATTGTCGTCGAAGAAGACTCTGAGGACTCCGATGAGCCTATCCGCTCTTCACCAATCAAAAGACGGAAGCGAGATATAAACTCAGATCACCCCCGAACTCCGCAGCGGCACTCAGAGCAGGAAAAGTTGGATCTCGAAGAGGATCTCGAGGTGTTACAGGACTCTGGTAGGATTTTTGATGAGAGATACGATTTTTGGGAGGATCTCCTTGCTAACTTTAGCGTTCATGTAGTCGTAAAGAACACTCGGACCCGGGGACGTCTGGCCAATTCGGCAAGAGCTCAACGCCAACGTCATCTGGAAGCCCTAAGACGCCGAAGGGCTGGTGGGAAAGAAGCGGAGCTGGAGCAAGACTCAGACGCTGAGCACTCGAATGAAGCTGACTCTGATGACGAGTCCGAGAGTGAAGTCGGAAGCCAAGTCCGTCAGCCGCAGTTTCGCCGGCAGGAAGAGAGCGATGTCGAGTCATCTATTGCAGACAACGAGGACCTCGACCAATATGAGGACGATTTTGTGTTAGAGGATGATGATGCCGAACTGGGAGTGCCATCCACTCTAGAAGATCTGCCGTTTGAGTTTTCTCGGCATGCCTACAAACAGCTGAAAGAATACTTCCAAGACGCTGTTGAATGGATGGTAAATAACAAGATCAACCCTGCCTTCCCTCGTTCCGACCCGCTGTACGAAGTTGCGTTCAGCAAACTTGAAGACGAGGTCAAAGGACGCACTGGTTCTCAGCTGGTATCTTCCGTCTGGAACGTCAAATTTCGCCGAGCACTCCTGGCAAGACCTCATGTCGAAATCACTCTATACCCGATCACAGATAATCATCCTTGTGACGCGTGCAACAGGTCTAAGCATCCTGCTTCGTTCGATATGAAGCTATACGGAAAGGCTTATTCCTTGGAGACACTTGAACCGTTGTCAGATGAAGACAGCGACGAGGATGATGAGGAAGAGGGTCCTGAAAGGGACAGAGACGGTTACAGCTTACCAGATGAGGACTCGCGGTTCTATCTTGGACGGTTTGTTCCCCTTCTTACCTTTAGTATTCACATTTCCATGTTGACTCGTCGATAGCCATTGCAAAAACAAAGCCTCGCTAGCCCACACTCTCACCCACTGGCGATTTCACCTCAATGAATGGGTTGTCGACTATCTCGAACGCATGGGTTACTTAGAGGACGACAAGGTCCTTGAGCGCAGCCATTGGAGTCATAAACAAAGGTCTAGGTATGCTTTAGAGGTGATGGGCTCAATGGTCGACAGTGGTGAGGTAAAGAAGCTGTGGCGTGACTTCCATATTACTCTGAAATCAGCGAGAGAGACAACCGTATGTTGAATCTTCTCTACAATTACGCAGTACATACTAATCTGCGTCCAGACACTCTCGTGAGGCACACCCATCGATCATACAGCCTTATGTCTTCATTTGCACATACTTGTCACACAGCCGTCGACAAACTCGACCAGGCAATCCTACAGGACCTGCCATCTTGACTTGAGACATCCCAGAGTTAACCTTTGCCTTTGCTTTCAATGATACCCACTACTCGTAAATCTGATTCAATAACCAACAGTTGCTTCAATATGTATCTAGGTGAAATCAAAATTCATGACTCATGAACTAAGTTCATCCACGTTCCATTATCTAGCAACGTACATCAACGAACAAAGAGAAAGAGACATAACAAGAAATGGACATGAAAAAATTGTTATACAAGTACATATAGACCCAAAGAATGTGTCAGGCGAAACCGCAGACGGGATAAACCAAAGGCTTCGAATACAACAGGCGAAGGGAATGAGGACTTAAAACCGTGACGGAAACGACGCAAAAAGTTTTCTGTAATCGCGCCTGCCCAGTATGCAAACCAACAGAAGAAAGGAATATGTGAAGAGAAAACCAGCTCCAACACCTCCCCGAAATCATGTTTTGTTTTGCACTGCGCCCAAATTTAATCTTGAGAGGTTCTCTGACGCTTCGCTTGGTGAGTGGAGTCAATTCGTGTACCGGCCGCGGTTGATTGCGAATTTAGCCCCAGCAAACCGATAATCGTAAATCAAAGCGAAGGACCGTACAACAGACGTCTCAGCTGCATCATCGCAATTGTGGAGTCCAATACACCTGTTGTATTTTCACCCTCGGGTTGAGGTGTTCATTTACAGAGCAGGTTGGGCCTCCTTGTTCTCAGCCGGGAGGGCGCCGGGTGTGAGCATCTGTAGAAGAAACTATTGTCAGCATGCTTCAATCAAACACTCAAACAGCCTGTAGCATGCAAACGCAAAGATACAACTCAGAAGCGCGTGTGCCTCGCTTTCCTGGCAGAACAAGTCACCAAGTAAGAGTTTTCACACCGCTACCGATGCTCAAAGAACCGGACAGATCCGAAAGAATCGAGTCGACACAATCTGGTGGACCAGCTTAAGAGGAAAACGTTCTTCAACATACCTCATTAGCACCCTTGATCATTCCCTGCTCACGCTCCATCTGGACGTACTGCTCCTCTTCGGCGTAGGCAAGCGCCCACGGAACGCCAAGGAGGAAAGCACTGGTGCTGATAATCCAGAGCGCCTTTCCACTGAAGGAGATGCTGGACTTTGTGAACGAGGTGAGTGTGGAAACGGTGGAGGAGATCTGGCGCCGGGCTGACGGGGGGACGATATCTTTCAGAGCGGCTACACGCTCGTACAGGGTCTCGCTATCGACATCGAGGTCGGATTCAACGGAGATTTCGGATTCTAATATTGGATTGAATGGTTAGACAAGTTGTTTCGTGGTCTTGTCAGTGTGAAAATGCATGTTGGCTATGATTCCGACTGAAGAATCATCCTCCGGCAATGGAGCGAGATGACCCTGGGTGACGGAGCGAGATGCATGAGGGAAGCGCGTGTGGATATTGAACAGAAGCTCATAAAGAAAGAGCGACCGTGTCAGTAGAGGTTGCTCACCCGTGTCAGTGTAGTCTTCGTCCTCATCGTCCGTGGCAAGAAGAACATTGTTCTTGGTGGCCGTGGGCTTCTCTTGAGCAAAATGCTCGTCCTCAACCTCGGTGAGCTTGACCATTGTGACGGTAATGAACTAACTCGGGAGAAAGAGTGTTAAAAAGAAGTGGTCAAATGGCTCTGTGACGGTTAGAAAATACGATGCTAAAGGTGACGGAGATTGTTGGAGGACTGCGGACTTGAAGTGGTCCGCTACAACTTTTTTCCCGAACCAGGCGGCCCTAAAGCGGCAAGCAGCTCCAAACGTGATTTGTGCTTGAGCAGACGGTTCAATGGAGTGCTTTTATAGACAATACTGAGCAATCGTTTAACTTACTTCCTCGGCAGGATTAGATGTTGTACAAGTCGATTATTGATGCCATCCCTAGATACATATGGCACACCAAATCTCATGCAAAAATGCGGAGTGAAGAAAGTAAAAAGCCGTCATCCACCCTCTATATTGTACACAGACCAGGTCCTGGGTCAGTGGGAATCCATGAGCTGCGCTATGCAGGATCATACGAATCTATCTTCTTCCGAGCTTCCATCGTGCAATCCGTTCTTGAATTTCCTCCCATGGGAAAGCACGAAGTTTGTACCCTTCCAGCTCACCCTCCTGCAAGACCACCGTCGGGATACCGGTGCCCTGGCCCTTGTTCTGAACATGGCCTCCAAATACATGGCGAGCCACGCGACGGAGGTCATCCACGGTCAGAGCCTCGATGCGGTCGCACATCTCCTTGACGCCAACCTTATGGCCGTGAACTTGGACTTGACGGCCAAGGTCCTCCAATTCCACCATGCGGGACTCCAAGTTCATCAGCAGTGAGGAGCGGAGTTGGTTCTTCGCACGGTTGACCTCCTGTGGCTGCAAGGCGATGTAGCCCGTGTCGAGAGTCAGTGCCTGCAGCTCGCGGCACATGACTTCAAGCATCTCGGTCGTACGGGTCGGACTGCACGAGGCAGAGATACCGAAGATTCCGCTGTCTGTGTAGCTGTGATTGAAAGCGATGCAGCTTTCAACCCATCCATGCTGGTTCAACACATTCGTATAGAGACGAGAATACATACCCTTGCCGGGACCGCCGGCGGAGAAAGATCCGCCGCCGCCGAGCAAAGTCTGAAGGGTGGCGAGGGCGTAGATGTCAGGGCTTGAGATCGGGAGAGCTTCAAAGGCGAGATGTATGTAGCTCAGCCTAGGAAGCATGGGGTTGGCTGGTGGGGGGATCGGGGGAAGAGAGAGGAATCCACCAGTGTAGTGAGAAGGTCTTGTCAAGTCCAACGAAGATGGCTGCACCAACGAAGGATCAAGGGGTGCCACAGATGCAGGCTTCGACGCGGTGGTAGAGAGGCTCTTCAGGAAAGGAAGCCTGGAAAGGACAGACTGGGTTTTTGAGGTTGGGGTTGTGAAGGTTGTTGACGATGGCGTGAATTGAGGGACGGTCGGCGCCTGTCCCTCCTGAGCGGCTGTCTCTGCATCCGACAGGGTTGTGTCGATTCCAGTCCCGGATAATACGGGCCCTTTGCTCGGACTTCCGGCCTTCATATCACCAAAGTATTGCTCTGTTAGCTTAACAGCCTCCTCGTGCGGCACACCGGCAAAGGCAACAACCATCCTATCCGGCTTAAAAAAGACCTCCCGGTATCTCTCGACGACCGCCTTATTAATCTCTTCCAACCTCTCACGAGGACAGAGTAGCGGGTTCCCTAATGTGTTATCCTTGTAGGCCGCCATATGCACCAGCTCCGGCAGGATAAGCTCAGGCTTGGCCCAAATCTCATTAATCTCGTACTCTGCCGTCGCCAACTGCTGCAGGACTTCCTCATCGGTGATCAGAGGGTCGCGGATCGTCTCCGCCAGAAGACCCAAGGTCGCGGGGACAGCCGAGTTGAAGCTGGCCGACTGGTACATCAACGACTCGCGAGACGAAGCGCACTGAATGTTCCCTCCCAGACTCTCAAGCGTCTCTAGCATCTCATCGCTTGTTCGGGACTTGGTTGATTTAAAGGCTAGCCGGTCCATAATGTGGCTCACGCCTCGTAGGCTCTCGTCTTCGTACCGGGATCCCGCATCGACGTAGACACCAACGCCGGCAAAGGGACCGGGTAAAGATTCTGTAGCGACGCGGATTCCATTAGGCAATGTAGTAATCTGATCAAGCTCGGCAGGGTCCTATAAAGGGCGAGAATGAAAATTAGCCTTATATGACGGACTTGGTCGCTGGGGAGAAGCAGTGCCTTCAGCTCTTACCTTGGACTCATTGAGTGTAGCAAAGCTTCTGGAGGCTGAACGAGGCACGCGAGCCAGAGGCTTCGCAGACTCGACGGCGCGCAAGACGGAGCGACGCATCTCTGTCGTTTAGATATATGAATTTGGTCGAAACAATTAGAAAATATCTAGTTGTTAGTCCTCCGCTCGGCGTGGCTTTATGAAGGTCTTTCGTAACAGCGGCGGCGCAAAGATTTGGGACCGGAGACTTGCCCCGATTGATGGCTTATCTAATCTATCACTCCAGCAGTCTACAACAATGATATGATAAGAATGACAAGTGTCTCAACACGACATATTCTTCTCTGTAGGGCTTGATGGCTTTGGAAACATTTAGGGTTAGGAAGAACAATTCTGTTCTTTTGGCCGGAAGCGCGGCATCTCATTAGCAGCGATTAAAATCCCGTATTAATTTGGTTACATATTTTTGCGGTATGATGCTCTGCATGCCTAGCGATATCCATGTCGTTCCTGATATATACAGTGTTCCGTACACTCCTACATAATAGCTACCCAATATACTTCCCATACCTAGCAAACTCCTTATCCGCTTTCAGTCTCTCCAAATCCTCATCCCTAAGACATGCCATGAGAGCAATCTCACCATCCAACGCCTTTGGCAGAAGATACATCAAGCCCTCAACAGGCAAGAACCGTGGTCTGCGTACACACTCAGGTGTGCCCAGTCCAAGATTGAAATCAAGCTCGTAGCAATTGACCTTAGCCCAGGAACTAAGCATCAGATCCCTTGACGGGTCGATGGAAGCCCCAAATGAGAAAACGCTCTTATCAGGGGTTCGAGCGAAACAAGTCGCCAGGGCACGGGTGTGATATGCCAAAGCTTCAGGATCCAAAGAAGACCGGAGCCGAGATGCGATCACACCCAGTGGCTCCTCGACGAGTTTCTGAAGCGTGAAGCTGTTGTACGTCATATTTTGAAACAAGCCGGGGTATGTCTGCGGCACATCCAAATAGCGGCGTACATCGACGGCGCGGCCGAATGTCGATTCGGCTGCTGAGTCTAGGCGTGGAAGACGCGCGCGGGCAACAGCCTGCCAGATGGAGGCACAAAGGGCGTCGTCTGTTGAGACGAAGCCTGAGGTGGCGGTCTTTGTACAAAGCGACTTCAATTCGGCGAGATTGCTAGGTGAGAACTTGAATAATGCCCAAGTGCACTCAGGCGGAGGAGGTCCTCTCTCGTCTGAGGTGTCATTGCAAGCAGTCTGAGCTGGGAGAGGCTTCATAATCTGCCGCGCAACCTCCGGACCTGGCTGGTAAGAGTCTTCTAGCAAAGGAATAAGATTGTGTCTGGCAAAATTGCCGGACGCAAGTTCCTGCTCGGAAAACGGCTCATTGCGGCAGGCTTTTGACAGCAACCGCATAAGATGCCCCTGGCCTGTCATGTCCATTGCCATATGGTGGCCGACAAAAGTCAGCAACAGACCACCAGTAGTGAAAGTCGCTTGCACGATCAAGACCGGGTCCCAGTCGTTAGTCTCACCAGGGAGCGGGACGGTCATGCGGGGGGCAACAACGCTCTCGTCCAGCATGCTGCTGGGGAAGCCAGCCTGTCGAAGAGCGCCCATTGTTGGCATTGAAGGGTCATCCCTCAGATCTTTGACAACCAGGCAAGGAACTCTAACCAACGGCTTGATCTTGAAAACACCTGTGTTGCCTTCACTTGCACCCTCATTAACGATTTGACCGGCCACCCAGGGAAAGCTTGCAGATAGTCGTTCAAGACCCCTTGTCAATCTGTCAATGATTGCTGGGTAAGAGGAAGCATCCGCCACAGGATAACAGAGGCATATTTGGGTGTAGATGTTCAGTAACGGCTGATTTGCGAGAATGTCCACAGCGAGATCGTCCTGGTTAGATATTGTACTTGTGACTAGCATAGTGGATTGGATCGCTTGGATTTCTGATGTCTATTATCACATTGCTGTTCATCCTGACGAATCTTGGCTGGGTTTATAGGAGCTCAATGATCCTGCCTCATTGTATTGTGCATCTGCAGACACATGTAAATTGTCTGGATGAGCGAACATGAGTCATCCTCACTCATCAGATTTGGTACCTTTTTTGGGCGCATCCTCTAAATGCGATGAACATTTCCCACCGTTTGTCATACTATATCAAATAATCACTATCAAGCTTGCTTGCATCACCCAATACGGAATCTATATCAACATAGAAGGCTGGAAAAGTGACTTTGACATACGGTTTGACCGTCACAGCAGGCGTTCAGCTTAGTCACACGGGGTAGCTGCCTTAAGTAACTATCAGGTGAGTGGCTGAATTGAGCAGCAATCAAGGAATGTCGGATTCCTGTATTTGATGCTCCTAAGGCAATAATTATTGTATTCCCTGGTGGATGATGTTCGTTCGGTCTTTGACTTCAATCTTGAGGAGACGATAGCTAGAATTTAAAATCGGGGTTGAGCCTGCATTACTGTCTCTATGGTCTATTTTATTATCTTTTCGTACCCTCTGTCTATCACCGTTCTTCGAGCAGGCTCCGTCTATGGATGCTCAGCAGCCCAGTTCCTATACCAGTCCAGGCAACCAGCATTCGCAACACTTGCACCAATTTTGATGTTCAGTCCGCAAAGGATCTGCTTCACCGCATTTTCGACTTTTTTGCCGTTAGATGTCACTGGAATTTCAGGACATACATCCACGATACCCGGGACATGCCGAGGACTGAGCTCTTTGCGGATAGTGGTTTGAATTCGCGCCGCAAGGTCCGCAGGCATAGTTGTGGGCGGCTTGCCATGCGAGGCGAGCTTCACAAATAGTACCACAGTCTC